CGTATACGGGATAGTGAGAGTTAATTAAATATGTCCCGATTGGTTTCTATTACAATTGCTTCACGCAGTGTAGCTCCACCCACAGTGAGATTTCATTGGTTTAAAGTCCTGTTTGTCAAATTAAATTAAACATCAAATATGATCGGATTGGTCATTTCGTTCGTTATATTTTTAGTCAGGGCAAACAAATTACTTGAATCAGTAAAGTTGTCACGTCAGTGATTTCTGCCGCAGTTGTTATAAGTACCATCTCACGCAATGCAGCTCCGCCCACAGTCAAATCAGTGTTCTAATTGGTTGTCATTTTCTCTTTTAATCTGAATAAACCAATTACCTGAGGCTGTTAATTTGCCGTGGTTTTTATTCGAATCGCCTCACACAATCTGAACTTGTCGTTCATAAACACGAAAATGCTCTAATTACAGTTTCATATTCAGTATTGTACAGTAAAAAAACGTATTACTCGACGGTGTAAACTTGACGCATCACACCTTTTTCTGTTGTGCTTTCAATTCCAATCACGCAATGCAGAAGCCCTGCTTGACATAAATTAAGTTAAACATCAATAATACATTCTGACATAAACCATAATACATTCTGACTAGTTTTTGAGAGAGCATTTTGCTTTGATGTATTAGTTATCAAAATGATTGGATATTTTTCAAATCATGTGTTACTTCAGTAACTGCGAGCAGCATGAGATTCTCCGATGGGGGCCCGAGGGCGTGAGAGGCTGGTGGGTGTTCGGTAAGTTCGCCATTGCTTCTTTTGAAGAGTTTGCAGATGGATGAGTGCTTCATCAAGCCCTGCCTTGAGAAGAACTCCATTATCTCGGCTAAACATCTCACTTTGGCACCTGGGAGCTGTGCGAGTCGTGACCCCTCCCTCTATAACTTCAGACTCAAGAGAATGGAGGCCGGTAAGGTTTTCCATAATCAATTTACCTTCCGAGATGACTATAAACCTTTTCCATCCCTCCCCTGTGAGCTTCCTCCACTCTTCCTCTGTCTCTCTACCCCTCTCTCTTTTTACTTTTCTATCTGGCATTCCTTCCCGCTCTCTCTCTCTTTTCTCGCTCTTTCACTCCCACCTCAGTACATGCCAATGAATAATTCACCAGTCAATGTGGTGAAAGGTGAGGTAAACAAGTCTATTGCCTAATGTCCCGGGAGGATGGAGGGAAGGAGAGAGGAAAGAATGTCTGTGTGTGTGTGTGTGTGTGTGTGTGTGTGTGTGAGGTGAAGATTTTAGAACTATGGTTTATATTTCAGTGTCCCTGAATCATTTGCACCTCAGTTGACCCTAAAGGTTATACAGAGAGCAGATCACACCACAGATCCATCTCTCTAACCGTTTCTCTGGCCATTTCATTCTCTTAAAGGGACAGTTCAACTAAAAACGATCACTTACATTTTACCTGGAAATAAAAAAACAACAAAACATCTCCTTTTGTGTTCAAAGTCATACAAGCTTGAAATAACATGAGGGTGAAAAGACAGGCAGAATTTTCATTTCAGGGTCAACCGTTTTCTTTATAAATGCCGCTGCATTGTGGAAAATGAAAGAAAAAAAAGCACTCACTAAAACGCATTTCGAAATTCCATAACTCGTTTGTATCCAACTGGAGTCTTTTAGCAAATAAAACAGCAGCGTGTGAGCTACTTCTGAGAGCCGAACAATGTGTGTGTGACTGAATAGATGTGTGATTCAGACAGTCTGTGCTGAATAGCCCGCTTTTTATGGCTCAGCGTCCAGTCCTCGAGATTGAAACGGCCGGACAAAGGCCACTTGCTGATATGCTGGCAATGCAGCTATTCAACAAAACAATATGGCCAAATATGCAGTTTGGAAGTGGAAATGACTGATCTGTTCTTACTTGTGTGCTTGGAATTGATTGAATTGCCTGATTCACCTTTTATGTTTATATATATACACATACATATATACATACACACACACACACACATATATATATATATATATATATATATATATACACACACACACACACACACACACACACACACATATATATATGGGAAAATGAAAACTTTATTTCTAGTTGTATAGGTCAAATTATTTCATTTTAAATATATAATTGAATAATTTGTAGGGCTGTCAAACGATTAATCGCGATTAATCGCATCCAAAATAAAAGTTTGTGTTTACATAATATATGTGGGTGCATGGTGTATAATTATTTTATATATATAAATAAACACGCATGCTTGTATATATTTAAGAAATATTTTCATGTATACTGTATATAGATTTATATATAATCTATATTACATATAAATATAAATATTTTATATATAAATAATATTTTTTTTCTTAAATATACAAGCATGTATGTGTATTTATATATATACAAAATAATTATACACAGTGCACCCACATATATTATACACAAACTTTTATTTTGGATGCGATTAATAGCGATTAATCGTTTGACAGCCCTAATAATTTGACATCTATAATTTTGAAATGTGAGATAATGGAGGCATTTTTATGACGAGGCAAGATTAGTTTCGTTTGTAAAATGTAATGTGGTGTGACACCTAAAAAAAAATCAACATTTGTAAATTAATAAAAAAAAAAAAAAAAGAAAAATCAAGATTTTTGTGGTCACACCTAGTTTTTCATATATATATATATATATATATATATATACATATATATTAGGGCTGGGCAAGGATTAATCGCAATTAATCGCATCCAAGATAAAAAGTTTGTGTTTACATAATATATGTGTGCATAGTGTGTATAATTCTTTTGCATATATAAATACACACACGTGCATGTATATATTTAAGAAAAATGTGTTCTTAATATATCAAATATTTATTTATACACATAATACTAATTATGTAAAAATATATATAAAGTATATACATGCAAATATTTCTTAAATATATACATGCATGTGTGTGTATTTATATATACAAAATAATTATACACACTACACACACATACAGTATATTACGTATTTATAATATAATATAATATAATACGTATTTTAATTTGTGAATAATTCATATGGTTTTGATTCCCCAAATCCTTAATAATAATACTACATTCAAGATACAGTATTTGTATATATATATACAAACCCAATTCCATAAAAGTTGGGACACTGTACAAATTGTGAATAAAAACAGAATGCAATGATGTGGAAGTTTCAAATTTCAATATTATATTTAGAATACAACATAGATGACATATCAAATGTTTAAACTGAGAAAATGCATAATTTTAAGGGAAAAATAAGTTGATTTTAAATTTCATGGCATCAACACATCTCAAAAAAGTTGGGACAAGGCCATTTTTACCACTGTGTGGCATCCCCTCTTCTTTTAATAACAGTCTGCAAACGTCTGGGGACTGAGGAGACAAGTTGCTCAAGTTTAGGAATAGGAATGTTGTCCCATTCTTGTCTAATAAAGGCTTCTAGCTGCTCAACTGTCTTAGGTCTTCTTTGTTGCATCTTCCTCTTTATGATGCGCCAAATGTTTTCTATGGGTGAAAGATCTGGACTGCAGGCTGGCCATTTCAGTACCCGGATCCTTCTTCTACGCAGCCATGATGTTGTAATTGATGCAGTATGTGGTTTGGCATTGTCTTGTTGGAAAATACAAGGTCTTCCCTGAAAGAGACGATGTCTGGATGGGAGCATATGTTGTTCTAGAACTTGGATATACCTTTCAGCATTGATGGTGCCTTTCCAGATGTGGAAGCTGCCCATGCCACACGCACTCATGCAACCCCATACCATCAGAGATGCAGGCTTCTGAACTGAGCGCTGATAACAACTTGGGTTGTCCTTGTCCTCTTTAGTCCGGATGACATGGCGTCCCAGTTTTCCAAAAAGAACTTCAAATTTTGATTCGTCTGACCACAGAACAGTTTTCCACTTTGCTAGAGTCCACTTTAAATGAGCCTTGGCCCAGAGAAAACGCCTGCGCTTCTGGTTCCCGTTTAGATATGGTTTCTTTTTTGACCTATAGAGCTTTAGCCGGCAACGGTGAATGGCACGGTGGATTGTGTTCACTGACAATGTTTTCTAGAAGTATTCTTGAGCCCATGTTGCGATTTCCATTACAGTAGCATTCCTGTGTGTGATGCAGTGCCGTCTAAGGGCCCGAAGATCACGGGCATTCAGTATGGTTTTCCGGCCTTGACCCTTATGCACAGAGATTGTTCCAGATTCTCTGAATCTTTGGATGATATTATGCACTGTTGATGATGATAACTTCAAACTCTTTGCAATTTTTCTCTGAGAAACTCCTTTCTGATATTGCTCCACTATTTTTTGCCTCAGCATTGGGGGAATTGGTGATCCTCTGCCCATCTTGACTTCTGAGAGACACTGCCACTCTGAGAGGCTCTTTTTATACCCAATCATGTTGCCAATTGACGTAATAAGTTGCAAATTGGTCCTCCAGCTGTTCCTTATATGTACATTTAAATTTTCTGGCCTCTTATTGCAACCTGTCCCAACTTTTTTGGAATTTGTAGCTCTCATGAAATCCAAAAGGAGCCAATATTTGGCATGGCAATTCAAAATGTCTCACTTTCAACATTTGATATGTCATCTATGTTGTATTCTAAATATAATATTGAAATTTGAAACTTCCACATCATTGCATTCTGTTTTTATTCACAATTTGTACAGTGTCCCAACTTTTATGGAATTGGGTTTGTATAATATGTATATATATAATACTGTACACTTGACGGTTACACCACATAATATTTGCAATAAAGTTATATGTTTTTCAAAACCATATAAAAGCCAAAGAATACAAAAAGTACATTTCGAATATGTTTTCTAAGCACTGAAAACGAGATTTTTTTCAATATAGCACACAGTGACCCCAAAATATATTTGGACAGATGTATAAAAGTCATCGCAACCACTGATTGTTGAAGGAACATCAAAGAAAGAAGTGAAAATGAGAGTTTTTCTGTGTGTGTGCGTTAGAGGAGTGTGTACTCACTGGCATGGTTTGACTGCCGTGCAGGGCGCTGATTGCAGATTGAGCTTCAGCGTGTGTGGAGAACTTTACAAAGGCGCAGCCTGAAAAAAAAAAAAAAAGACACACACAAAAGGTACACAAACACTTTAGCCACAGCGTAGAGAAGCGCATTAAAACACTGGAGAGAGGCAGAAAGCCCTCCAACGGTAAGCAAGCTTCTCCTCTAGAGACTGTGCTGATGCAACAAGCGTGCTATTTACTGCCACATGCCCATCTATGCAAACAAATCTCAAAATACGGGATAATTGATATCGTTTTAAAACGCCGCCGCAGATATTCATCACGAGGATTCAAACCCATTTGGGATTCGAGAGCAGGCGTATTGAAAACCGTTGAAAAACCTGTCAAAATATTAAGGATAGGTCTTAATGTGCCTTATACAAGCGTAACGCGTTTTATGCCGTTTTTATTTAAGAATTAAGGATTTCTGGCAGAAACAGGCTTTGAAATGAAACACATTAGGAGCTAAATGAAATGTAGTTTTCTTGTCTTATTGTACAGGGAACGGTTTGACATCTATCCTTTTCTTCTCTTCCATAAGACTGGATATTCACGGATCCACCCCCTAAGTAGCAGAAATAATCCTACAGCAATTTTCGTAACACTGGCAAGAGGAAAACTCAGACTCCCACAGTGCTTTTCCAAATGCCAGGCTGTATTAGCATCTAACAGTGTCCCTAAAGCCTCGGTGGGCAAACAATGGGACTCTATAAAAAGTTGCATGTTCAAATATGTGCTTTTTCTCCATCTCTTAAGAGTCTTCAATGTTGAATGAGCGACAACTCAGAACAAATTGTTGGTTCTTGGACCGCATAAAATGGCGACGTTAAATTTTAATATCATATTTAACAGAATATGCAAAGAGAACATAAACTATAGGGAGAGTTTTGATAGATTATGAAAGTGTGTGGTAACAGTTTACAGCATACCTACAAGGTCAAAAGTCAAAACTTTGGGATGATTACGATTTTTTTGAACATTTACTTGATGTTTTTAAATATTATTACAATAATATTCTTTAAAAACTCTTTTCAGTTGTACAATTTTGTCTCTAGTGTCTTTGGACAGCTCTTTGGTCTTGACCATGTTAGTAGTTGGATTCGACCTCTAATGACTCTAACGACCTCTAAGGCCGGATTCACATGTAGCGCCTAAAACGCGTAGAAAACGCTGGGCGCGCCGCATTCTCCATTTTCCAAAGCGCCAGGGTGGTTGCGCTTCAGTTGGTTCTTGTCACATGACCTACTGTGTGCGTATGGTGCGCTTGCGGTATTCTGAAAAGTTGAGATGTTTTTATCTCGACGCGGTGCGGACGCGCATGGAAAAAACGAGCGCGTCGCACCGCGACCGCATCGCTTCCATTATGAGCGCGCATACCGCGCGCCTACATTTGAAATAACGAACTTGGCATCAAATAGGGGCATAACAGGGGCATCAAATTTAGGATAATAAATGGAGTGGAGGTGGACATTTTAAAGGCAGACACACAGGTCTTTAGGTGTTTCATACAAATAAATAGTTAAAAAATAATGATACTGATAAAAATACTGATAATATAACATCACGCCACAAAAAAATGATGTAATCCCACCTTTGCTGTTTCCATCCGGACCTCTTAGCACAGTGCACTCTTCAATGACTCCGTAGGGTTCGAAAAGACGGTACACGTCCTCCTCCGTCTGTTGTTTGTTCAGCATCCCGACGAACAGCTTCCTGTCTTCTGAAGCAAAGAAAAACAGAGCGAATGGAACGACTGGCGTAACCTCACACCTTCCCATTACCCACATACATTTACTATTGTAAGCACAACCCAAATACTACTCAGACTTTTGGTCCTTGGCCAGCATGGGCAAACAGGGACTGCTTTTGCTTGGCCCATTTAGCTTGTGGAATGGAGTCGCAGCAGTAATTGTTCCCCGTGCCAAGTCTGTTCATTTTAATTTGGGGGATAATTGGGTTCAACCCCATGTTGGAAATGGTGGGTAGGCCTGAGGTGATAGCGCTAAGCTGTCGTGCTTAGAGGCTCGCTTTAATGGGAAGAAGCAGACTGCGAAGAGACAACGCTTTCTACGAAACTCTGGAGGGTGTAGATAGGCCGAGAGCGCCGCTACCGCTGACCTCGAATTCAAACTAATACGAGTTGTTTTTGTCCCGCTCTATGTTTAGAAATCTTGAATAATATACAAAAATGATTATCACAAATTATAAAGGGCACTACGCCAGGTGATGCTGTCAAATCATTTCAAAACTCGACAAATTTTGCAAGAGAATCTCAGTGGAATATCCTACTGAATATTATAAAGGTTGAAAGCACAAGTTCAAACTCATTATTTAATATTAAAAAGCAAGATTCTTATCATTTAAAAAATGTTTTTAACTAATTTGGTCAGTCAAAGTCAAAGTTTAAGCAAGCAGAACTGGGAGATTTTTATTTTCAATTGCTCGTAACTTTAATTATCATGTAATCTCAACTTAAAAATTTTGAGTAGTTCAAACTTGGTTAGCTTTAACTAAACAATTCAGTAAATGCTAACTCGCAAATTGGTTATAATGCTTTAATAGCATTAGCATAGCTTAGCAATTGCTGAACGAGTACAGCAATTTAGAGCAAATCAAGTTTATGCGCTCCACTCGTCACCATGATGGTAACAACATAAACACAGAAACTCTTCTAAATTGGCATAGCAAAACATTAAACTACTAAATATCCCACTTTACATTAATCTTGGTCAAAAACATTATATAACACTTAATTTTAACATTTAGGCTACTTTCCCAGAGTGTCATGCTGGGAAATTGAAATCTCAGCCCACTTTCAGTTACATTTAAGTCTAAATTAAAAGAAACAAGTTTATAAAACTTAAAACAATAAAACAATCTGGATTACTGAAAAAGTGTCAGTTTGGTGAACTCAAAAGAAAAAGAAAGTTCTAAATACTCATAAAAGTTCATTTAACTGAACTAATTTGTTGAATTTAAGTTAACCCAATTCATTTTGATACAAATTTTAAACATACAGATACAAAGTTTCACTCATATCCACTTGGCAGGTACTGACATAATGAGGTAGCCTGTAGAAAAGTAGTCACTGAAACTGAATTATGAAAAATGAAACACTGAATTATTTACTATTTAACACAATAGTTTTCAGTTTCTGGACATTTTCATTTCCAAAATTGGGTCAAAAAATTGTGGTAAGTGTGTGTCTCGCAACCTCAACAGAAGAGTGATCCAACTAAACCTACAACTATATCATTGCATTGATCTTTTTGACTATGTGTCAATGGGATGGATGTGTCTATTGAGTCTACCACAGTCTTAGTCGTATTGATATTCCTTCATTCGCTCCGGAACCTGGCCGGCTCCGTGTCTCGCCGCGGCAATGACGTGCTCTAAAATAATCACGAGTGTCAGCACGTTGTCTGGGCCTCGTGCGCGCACTTTATCGTTTGTGGCAGGATCAGAGGGTACGTATCAAAATAGAGGCAATGCATTGTGACATCTGTCACGTTACATCGGAGAGCATTTATCTGCAAAAAAGAAGGCCCTGAACTGGAAAATAAAAGGGCGGGGATGGGCCCTGGGGGGATCTTCCGCTCTGAAGGTGGACTGGTTAAGTTCCTGGACGGATTCGCATGGATGTGGCCTTGAGGTCTTGTCGTGCTACTTGTGACGTCTCAGCTCAAGGAAACGGGTGATGGGACTCTGACCGGGCTGGATTAATGTACGAAGCTGACCTGTATGAATTTAATACCGCGTGTGCTTCACTTCAATATTTATGCCACGAGCGCTGCTGCAGTAGCGTGCTTTAAAATACACCCTTGCGGCTGTCCCATGGCTGATAGCTGAATGGAATATTACTTATGGCTGGAAAGAGTGTAACGGTAACGCACACTGCAAATCAGTATACAGCGTGACGACAACTTAAAAGAACGGTTCATAAAAAAATTGAATTCTCAAATCCTTCCTCAAACCCTATGACTTTTGTTCTTTTGTGGAAAACAAAAGACATTTTGTAGAATGTAGTGATCACTCTTTTCCACAAATTATATAATAAAAAGTTTCAGTCTCTCAAAAATGACCAAAGTTGCCAATTTTAACGCTATTCAGTGAAAATCCTCTCTTCTGTGTATAATATTTTCATTGAATCACAAAACCTGTCTAAAATTATGTCTGATTTGTGGACAAATCATTCTTTTGAGACAAAAGTCAGAATTATTTTTGGGTTCGTGAAATGTCAAATCTCTCAAAATGATGTGTCAGATTTGAGAGCAAATCATTATGAGTCAAACCTTTTAATTGAATCACAAAACTAGTCTGAATAATTTGTTGGCAAATCAGATTCAACCAGTTCAACTCACTTCAGTCTGTTTTCTACGGTGACCCATTGTTGCCACATACATATTATTTTCCCCCCTCAATTATGTCGTAATAACGACGTATTAAAAAAAATATTGTCATATTAAACGACATATTGTAAAAATATTGTCGTTAAAACGACATATTTTCCCGTTTTAATGACATCTCGTTTTAATCTCTTGTTAAAACGACATAATATCTCGTCTTAACGACATAAATATCTCGTTATAATGGCATAATATCTCATTTTAATGACATAAATATCTCGTTTTAACGACATAAATATCTCGTTATTTCGACATAAATATCTCATTATTTCGACATAATAAGGGGACATTGTAATATGCATTAAGCTACATTTAGCATTCTTATAATGATTTTCTTAATCAGATAAGTCCAGAATATGAGCGCAGAGCGTTTAATTTGACGTTAAGCATTTTCCTCCCGAAACTATAAGAACGCTAAATGTAGCTTAATGCATATTACAATGTCCCCTTATCATGTCGAAATAACAAAATATTTATGTCGAAATAACGAGATACTTATGCCGTTATAACGAGATATTTGTCGTTAAAACAAGATATTTATGTCATTAAAACGAGATATGTCGTTATAACGAGATATTTATGTCGTTAAAACGAGATTACGTCATTATAACGAGACATTTATGTCGTTAAAACGAGAAAATATGTCGTTTTAACGACATAAGATCTCGTTATAACGACATAATTGAGGGGAAAAATAATATGTATGCGGCAGCAATGCGTCACCGTAGTTTTTTACACAAATCCACCATATAACTATATGAAGTTTCAGTCCCCATTCATTGCAATTGCATGGAAAACCACAACCAGCAGTGTTCACAATTTCTCTAAAGACAATAAAGATAAAAGTGAGCAAATGATGACAGAATTTAGATTTCTGGGCGAAATGCGTTTCCCTTTAAATCGTTGGATACTCTATTTATCACTTTAGCTATACTCCTGTTTTTCCATGATTCAATAAGCCGCAAAAGTTTTGAGAAGCTCCAAGCCATTTATAAAATAAATCAGGAAGAGAATGTTTTCATCACTCTTGTTGACAGGGATGAGGGATAAAGCATCACCACAGGGCCGCCGTAAGAAAATAAAAACAGACACTGCGACTGACATTACACAGAAAAGAAAATCACACAATCACACACCAATCCATTTTAGGAAGCACTGGAATACAATACAGACTGCATTACAAATAAAGGAACGTATGGAATAGCACCGCAATCTTGCATTATTCAACTTTTTTTCTGTTGGTCAGATGACAAAAGGTTATGAGAGTCGACTGCAGTCAATAACGCAGTGAATAAGCAAGCAAAGTGAGTTTATCGACAGCATGACCACAACAGATTCATTAAAAGGCACTGGAGTGTAACACATGCTGTACAGTATCGTATTAATTCGAACTATAAGTGCACTTTGATAGAGCGTTCAATCACTACAGTGACATAAAGGTGTTGCAGCGTTCTCATCGCACGTTTAATTGATTAGCACTCGTGATATTTGCATACTTTACTCCCCCGTGTCCTTCATACCGGGTCCGGCCCCACCAGCTGTGATACCGCCTCAAAAAATGACTCCTATCAAGCTTCATCAACTTCAGCGGCTGGGAAGAGTTTTGTTCAATACATCACACATTAAGGGGTGAACAAGATTGCTAGCTTCATGTCTAAGAGAATTTACATGTACGTCCTTGTGATATGACTGAGAGCAAATTCTTATTTGTTTAATATCATGAGTGATTTTTGTTATCTTTATTATAAGAGGTATGCCACTAGACTATAGAATCAACGCTATTAGGCATTGAGTATAGCTGGGAGTTTACTAGTAAATATCCTAAATAAAGTGGACAGAATAGCCCATGGGATTTGATGCCATGGACCCACAAATATAATGCATTCTAATCCTAGGGCGTCATATAGTGACGCTTTTGAGATTTTGAGATAGGTTTAGGTCTGGGGTAGGGTTAGGGTTAGACCACTAGGAGGCGCCTTCTGGCATATATATTTTTGCGTCTTATATTGACGCTAAAGTGTGCCAAGTGCGTTGGATGTAGACGAAATGTCAAAAGCGTCACCGGGGTGGATGATCCTTTGGCATGTTCGAGTTTCTGAGATTGAAAACCGCATTTTCTTACAGGCGTGAGTCTCGAAACTTATTGTATTACGTGACAGACAACTAGTTGTCCAGTCTGGTTCCGTTCACACAGCAAAGGTTTTTCCAAAAACGCGGTTGTGATTCCTGAAAATTCATGGGTGTAAGTTTGGTTACAGAATGTGCTCCCGTAAATTACCGAACTGGGTCTGAACGTAACCATATTAAGGACTCAAATAGGCTATTTTTGGGGGGATTGACAACCACATTTACTAAATGTACCATTCAAAAAACAAATTATAGTAGCCCCTAAAATAGTGTCTGTATGAATGTGCAATGAGTCAAACCCATATTCTCTTACCAGTAATCATGGACTATCTATATCAAAGACTATCTACATCTATATCAAAGATGCGACATCCATTAAACTGAAAAGTCTTATCACTTTTGATTGATATGTCAAAAGTCCAATCGAGCCGCGAGTTCATCCATCAGATCTTTAAATGTAAAAATGTAATGTTGTGTGTTGATATATCGAAATCGTCTTCCATTGTAATTTCCTGTATTTCTAAATAGGTTTCGATCTTCACAGTGAAAGGGTAACACTTCCGAAATCTCTGTGTAAACAATGAGTGACTTACATGCGCGAGAGATCACTTCCGCCGCTTTCCGGGCGCTTGCGTAGACCGAAGCGCCCACACCCTCAGAGTACTTGGACGTGGCTGTGGTTACAAAAGGTAAAACGATATAAATACTGTTCATTTTCTCACACAAACTGCTCGTTTCGTGTCTTAGGCCATCAATGTGTACTTACATTTACGAGTCATTAAATCGTGTTTAATTTGGACTTCTCCGTGCATGCTCTTTGACGTGGTGACCATAAATCTTCATTATATGACTGACAGACAAGAACGGTTTGACCTAAAAATATCAAAATTGAAACTACTCCGCCTACATATTTGTTGCCCACGAGGTAAGCTAAAACATACCAAAAATTAATTTCAAAGTGAACTATCCCTTTAACTCTTTCCACGCCATTGACGGAAATATCCGGCTTTCAGTGTTTTCACTGTTAGGGGGCGCTATTACGAATCTTCTAAACAAAGTACTGAATGTCCTGATCAAAACACAGGTGAAGAAGAAGTAGAAAAAAAAGCGATATTATATCTTTTTTAAATCAAAGGCCTTTCTTCTTTCTTTTGATGTATTGCATATTCATACACAAAAAATTGTGAAAATTATCAAAAATGCTGGCGGTGGCTGGCAACTTTAAAAAAAAAAAAAAAAAAACACTAGCGGGGAAAGAGTTAATACCAGTTGGACACATGCTTTCTCTTTTTCATCACAAAATACTCAATGACTCAAGGACTCAATACAGGACTGACAACATTTTATACAAATATGCAATATATAAAATTGCAAAATACTAAAGTTATATTAAAAAAAAAGATAAATAACACACTATAGGCCGATTTTGTGTTCTCTAGCATTTCATATCATGATCATATTTGACAAAAAAAAGTATTATATAGATATTGAGATATGTAAACACATTATATTAACTGCAGGTTACTGTCCTAAAGGCACTGATCTACCACTGAACGATTAAAACAGTAAAAGTGAAAGGATAAGCCTAGACCGAATTTTTACAATTTGGATTCTGCTTGTTGTTTTGTCCGCAAAAAAGTATCCGTGGAGGCTCTCAAAACATGCAGACCATATCCTGGCTCGTATGAGGAGATCCTGCAGCCACGGATAAGCCCGGATGAGTGTGGGAGGTGAGCGGTCGAGTTTGTAAATCACTGTCCCGAGAGAGCCGATTGATAGTGAATCATCACTTTTGGCTCTTTTGATTTTGCACAGGAAAGAGAGTTTGTGGAGGATGTCAGTCAAGCCTAAATGGGGTTCGCGGGAAGCAGAGGGTCATTCCTAAATCTGCTGTGGGGCACGCAGTGTAAATTCCATTGTCTGAGACGGTGATAAGGAGAAATGATGAACAATATTAGCATCTTGATAAAAAGCAACATACGAACGAACAAACACATTAACAGAGAATTACCAGGTGGGCGATTATTCAAGCGGAGACTGAGCAAACCGAGAGCAAAAAGCGTTTGGGTTTTCCGTGCAGATAAGTGATGCAGACAGATAGGATGGGCTGAGATAGATTTTGCTGCTATTTCCACTTGGCAGGCCCCAGAATCGAGCCTCTGAAAGCGGCGTGCGGCCCTGGACACTAATTAAAAACAACACAACAATTACCGCATGCAACAAAACACAACCTCAACAAACAGAGAGAGGGTTAAAGTAATTAACCTACAGAACAAACCCGGTGGATTTTGATCCAATTCATTATATAGAACATATCTTGTTTTTGTACGAACGCTGATGCAATATTCGGATCCGTCAGGACTCTTATATCTGGCAGCGATGATCGGGGGATTCGAGGTCTGCTGTCAAACTTGAGACGCATTTTCTCAGCTCTTGGACTTTTACCTCCCGTGAGTTAATCTGAAACTATCAGCCTCGGATTAGTTCACCAAGTGTTTGGCCAAATAGACGAATCTACGTACAGCCACAGACGTTTGGCAGTTTCTATCAAACAGACGGGCATCAAATTTTGATCAAGGGAAGTAAAAAAATAAGTCAAAAACTTAACTTGCATAACATTTGCATAACAAACATAAACCGTTTATGTAACTTTGGCACACAAAATATCGCAAAGAGTTCACTTGCAAGCAAGCAGGCCTGCTGGTTCAGTTCATCAAATATAAAGCTGTTTTCCTAACTTTTCCTTAAAATTTGACTTTATAAGCATTATCAAGTTTACATTATTATCGCATTATCATTCACATTATAAAGTAACATAATAATACGGTAGGATAGGATTAAAGCTTAATATTTAAGCTTATATAATATGTTAATTATTAATATATATATATATGTATATATGTTAATTATTAACATAATTAAATATAATTAAACATATATAAATATAATAAAATATACTTATATATATTAGTGCCGATTAATTGTGATTAAACATAAAGGTTTATATATATATATATATATATATATATATATATATTATATTTTATTACATATTTATGATATTATATTTAAAAAATATTGCATACTTACAAACTTCTGTTACTAATCGCAATTAACTGTTATACAAGATTTTTAAGACAATTTAATGTAATTTAAGTTTAAATGACTTGCACATCCAAGTTGATGTAATTCCAAAATTGTAAGGCAGCAACTTTTTTTTTACAGTGTATGTGCTTTTTTTAATATATAGATATTTTTGCTGTTTCATAAAGTGTTTAAATCACTATAATGGTTTGAAAAAGTAATTGGCTGTTTCACGACAGGTTCCATTGCAACTTACCCCATACAATTGATAAAATGCCAACATCAGCTTTAATCTTGCTCAGTAGTTTTGTTTTGTTCTGCCAAGACTTTTCTACACAGAAAATAACTTTCAAAAATAAACCTAAACTGAAGAACAATCACAGGAGTAAAGTATGACTACACTGTAGAAAAATATATTGTTGGTTAAACATGAAAAAATAAGTAACCTGGTTGCCTTAAAATTTTAAGTTAATTGAAATGTAAAAATTGAGTTAATACAATGAAGGAGATTGATTTAATCATCAGAAACTCAAAATATTATGTTATCTGAACTATATAAATTATGGTTGATTTGACAAAAGAAAAAATGTGATTACAAATCATGAAAATATTTTTTTTAGAGTAGCCTCAGTCTCCCACATAACAAGCTGTTACAATAAAATAAAAATAAATGTAATGAATTGAAATAAATAATAAAACATATAAGTATAAACAATTATATAGCCTAAATATAAAAATATTATTTACTGCATAATAAAACTGCAATGCTAAAACGGTGTTTTTAACATTAACTATGGATTACTATAATAACAACAACAACAACACAAAATAAGACCAAATAATATTTTAGGAAATAATATAATTTAATAAAGAATGCTTAAAGCTATGCTTACCAAGCATTTGACTCATCAACACTAAATCCTCCGAGCGTTAATAAGTGAACCGAAACGGCGCATAGTTTAATAGATTTGCGGTATTCTGGTTGCGCCAGCAGTTAGGTCAACACATAAAATAAAAACAGCCGGCTGCAGAGATGGCCTTCAGACTGCGTGTATAAATCACAGGGAGACTTGAAGCAAATGGCCAACACATTTTCCATGTCATTCGATCACAAACGACGTTGAAACGGAGGGGAAAATATCTGTGAGCTCTAATAGCACTCTCCGATGCCTTATAGCTCTCCTGTAAGGTCCTCTTTTAACAGCGAGGAAGGTATAAGACGTGGGTTGTTTAAAATTCAGCGTTTAGAAAATTCTAGGCGTAATCGAAAGGAGTTTGTCCCTGGTTGACGCGTCATTCGCATTCAGTTGCGGCGGGAAACCTTGAACATATTATAACTGACCGCGCACATAAAACCTCTCGTGTGTAGGAGTCTCGAGGCTAATATTCGCTCTCGAATGAGGACGTGGGGGAGGAAACAGTAGAAGAAACGACTTAAAATATTTTATCTCCTCCGTATACTTCACGGCAAATTTACACCCGATATGATAACACAAGTGAAATATGACCCGCTACCTTGTCGGCTTCAACGTATTACGGCGGTACCCATAAATCTCCAGACCGCCGCACGACGTCCACGCGAGCTGTAGTATATAAACATTTACAATACTGCAGGGCTATTTATACTGCCTACCTTCATAATGCCATTCGCTGGGCTCTTTGGAGTCGGTTATGATATGGATTTTGTTTTTCATTACATTTATGGCTGTTTCTATTACATAAACAAGTACAGCTTCTTTCTTTCGTACAGTAGTTGTCATTTGATGCACATAACGCAGTTCCCAAACGGTCTCTTCATTATTTTCTAATTTTTCAGCACATGGTTGAAGCCCCTTTACTATAACATACGCACACACACACACACACACACTTTTTTTCTCACAAGCACCTCACACATTAGTTTTGGTTGGGTAATGAGGTAGCCACATGCTGTAGTGCACTCTAATCATTAACCTCTCCTTTCTTCCTTTTTGGAGGACACGAGACAACAAACTTCATTAAGAGGTTAAAAGCAAGCAGGCATGAGTCTCAACATCACTCATAAAAGCGACAGAGTGAAGAGGCCGATGAGGCCTTCTGGGATTCTTCAAGGAGCAAAGCGAAGCTGCAACTGAGGACGAGAGGTGAGTGAACAAGAGTGATAACTCATAAATGATGGGGAGAGCCAGCATGGAAAGCAAAAGCTGGTCAGCCTGATAGAAATATTGGCCTTTTCTTTTTATCTGACCAAAAACCTGTTTGGAAACAATTACTTCATTACACACTCGAACTCCAGGAAATTTTACCTCATTTAATTAATATTAATGGACTAAACCAAGCCTAGCACAACTTCCTGAAGTGAACATTATATCATAGGTGGTTCAACAATGGTTTTGGCCTAATTATTCAACTTTTATGACTAATAAAGTTCGTTTTCAATTATGTTTCCTTTACTTTTTGCTTATGTTTGTGGACTAAAATCAATGTTATACAAATCACTCAGAGTAACATGAACTAAAATGAATGAATATGACATGACAACACACCGACTAAATTTAAAAGACTTTTCCATTAAAAACGATGGCTGAAAAAACTCTTTTATATTTGGAAGTCAAAGCACTGCGCACAGCAGCTCGTGAACACACCAAAATTAGAGAATGAATATGGATTAAAAGATACATTTGGGATGCTCTGACCTCGTATGTAATGATGATTGCAGTCGCACTCCTGACCTGACTAGACCATATAACATCTGTATTATGTATCAATAGTAATATCTGCTGACAGCGGCATAGGAATGAGCTGGAAAGTGTGAATGGAAATATTACAAAGTATGATATGAGGGTATATTTCATTTGAGTTATATATATATTTTTTTGTCATATGGTTTGCCTGACATCACATACTGTCTGAATAGGTAACGCATTTGACGAGTTACGAACTTCACGACTAAAATCGCATACCGAGTAGGTACTAAGTTTAATGAGAAATCAAATATGCACCAACATCACATACTGAGTAGGTACTGCATTTGATGAGGAACAAACTTTCGTGACAGAAATCACATACTGCATAGGGTACTGCATTTCATGAGTTAAGAACTTTGCAACTAAAATCGCATACTGAGTAGATACAAAATTTTGACTAGGAATGAAATTTTCAACCAACATCACATACTAAGAAGGTGCTGCATTTGATGAGGCACAAACTTTAGGACAGAAATCACATACTGAGTAGAGTACTGCATTTGATGAGTTAAGAAATTCGCAACTAAAAATCGCATACAGAGTAGGTACTACATTTTGACGAGGAATGAAATTTGCAACCAACATTAGGCCTACATACGGAGTAGGTACTATATTTGATAAAGGAACAAACTTTCGTGATAGAAATCACATACTGAGTAGAGTACTGCATTTGATCAGTTAAGAACTTCGCAACTAAAATCGCATAGAGAGTAGGTCAATTTTGACAAGGAATGAAATTTTCAACCAACATCAAATACTGAGTAGGTACTAAATTTGATGAGGAACAACCTTTGTGACTAAAATCACATATTGAGTAGGTCCTAAATTTGATGAGAAATGAATTTCACAATCACAACCAACATTACATACTGAGAAGGTACTACATTAGATGTGGAACAGATTTCGCGACTAAAATCGCAAACCGAGTAGCTAGGTACTACATTTAATGAGAAATTAAATATGCAACCAACATCACATACTAAGAAGGTACTGCATTTGATGAGGAACAAACTTTTGTGACAGAAATCACATACTGAGTAGAGTACTGCATTTGATGAGTTAAGAAATTCGCAACTAAAATCACATACAGAGTATGCACTAAATTTTGACGAGGAATGAAATTTGCAACCAACATCACATACTGAGTAGGTACTTAATTTGATGAGGCACAAACTTTCGTGACAGAAATCACATACTGAGTAGAGTACTGCATTTGATGAGTTAAGAAATTCGCAACTAAAAATCGAATACAGAGTAGGTACTAAATTTTGACGAGGAATGAAATTTGCAACCAACATTAGGCCTACATACGGAGTAGGTACTATATTTGATAAAGGAACAAACTTTCGTGATAGAAATCACATACTGAGTTGGGTACTGCATTTGATCAGTTAAGAACTTCGCAACTAAAATCGCATAGAGAGTAGGTAAATTTTGACAAGGAATGGAATTTTCAACCAACATCAAATACTAAGTAGGTACTAAATTTGATGAGGAACAACCTTTGTGACTAAAATCACATATTGAGTAGGTCCTAAATTTGATGAGAAATGAATTTCACAATCACAG